CTATGATGGGCAGAGGGGCGGCGAAAAGGATTTCACAGATCCTCGGAGGCCACTTGCGAGCTTCCACGGCACAAGAAACGCCGCCCTCCGCTAAAGAATAACAGCGACCTCCCACTGCCTAAAGGACAAATGTATCATCCGCACCGCCCCCGCTCCCCCCGCGATCCCACGCCTTAAGTCTACACGCGAAGGTTAAGCTCTCTTAAATACAGCGGCTGGGTCCTCTCGTATTCTCCCTCACCGGCCGATCCACACCTCGCCAGTTACATTCCGGGGGTGCGTGGGTTGGTTGTGTACAAAGACAAAGACCCCCCCCCCACCCCCGTGTAGCCTTGACGGACCATCGGGGCAAGTGCTGCGAGCGAGTGAGCAGCACCTACGGAGGTCGGCGCGGAGCGACAAGTTCGGTGGCGTGGCCAACAACCGCGCCCGACCGCCTCTGTCTCCCCGGTGTTGATGTTCACAAACTCACTCAAGGCCGAAGCGACCTAGGGGAGGCCCAAGACCGTCGCGGGATCAGATAACCGTCACCGCTTTCGGCCGCGGAGATGGAACATCGAACTCGGGTCGCCGGGTTCGGAGCGCAGCGGCGCTAACGACCGCGTCGCCGCTCTCCACAGATGCACGCCACGCGCACGTACACACGCACACACGCCCGCTATTGTACACACCCTCGGTTTGTGTCCACCACGCTTGGCTGTTGCGGATGTTGTGGTAGCAAACCTTCAGCTGTTAGGAACTGGCTTGCGACCGCTGACAGTGGTAGTCACGTCGGCAAGCCATCCAACTCGGCCGTCGCGAGCGAGGATTTTTCCCAGGAGGGGGGAGTGGGGGGGGGGGGAGCAGACCGGCAAGGGGCGGCCATTATCGCGACGGCGTTAAGGGACCACCAGACCCCCCCCCCAATCGCTGCTGACGTTAAGGCGGTCAGGTTGACTGTCGCTGTAGGAAGCTGTCGTCGCTTCAACGGCCTTAAACCCAGGGCAGGACCGGCGGCGAGAGCCGCAAATTTGTTTCTATTTTATTTTTGTGGAGGTCACGGTGGCCGCCGCGAGGCTGGTGCGGACCCATCCCGACGTTTAACGACGACCCCCTGAGATTCCTAACCCCCCCCCCCCGTTCCTTACGTACGCCCCACGTCCACCAACATCCTGTCCCCCCGCCGTCACCCCCCACCACACACCACCACCCCCACCACCCCCAACACCACCCCCACCACCACCCCCACCACCACCACCAGCACCCCCACCAGCCACCCCCACCACCAGCACCCCCACCACCCCCCCCACCACCACCCCCACCACCACCCCACCCCCACCCCACATCGCAGCGTCTCCGACGATCGCCATCGTCACCAGGCCTGGAAGGCGAAGTCGTCTGTGCGTCCGAAGACGAGGAAGAAGGCGAGGATGGTGAGGAAGACGACCGAGTTGGCGGTGAGCACGAGGGCACACGCCCCCCACTTGATCTACGGGGTCGGGGGGGCAGGCATAAAGACAAAGATCACCCGTGTAGCCTTCACCAGGCCGCTGGGGCAAGTGCCGTTCGCGAGCGGCAGCTACGGAGGCCGGCGACACGTCTCCCCCCGGTGGCGATGTGTTAATGCGCGCCGCACGAGGTGGTCATTTGAGGCCGAGTCGACCTAGAGGAGGTTCAGATAATCGTCACCGGCACTGTGGCACACGATGGGGTGGGCAACACCACGCCCGGCCGCCTTTGTCTCCCCCAGTGGCGATGTTTACACACCGTACCGGGCACTCATTTGAGGCTGAGTCGACCTAGGGAGGCCGATGACCGTTTCAGGTAATCGTCACCGGTGTTGGCCGTGAGCGGCAATCGAACTCGGGTCACACCCGGGTTCACGCGCGCTTACGAGGAGCGCGTCGTTGTCAAACGTGAGGTGCACGGGGAGGCACTGGGATTCACGATGGATGTGTGCTTCAAGCAGCATCATCAGGCGACTGCCAGGAATTGGTTCAATTTGCCGGAACCGCCCCATAACGACGCTCGCGAACACCAGTGAAGCGTCGTGACCCGTCTCTCGCTCGCTCTCCCCAATGCACGCGTGTGCGCACGTGCACGTTCTCACGCAGTGCAGCGGTTAGCGCTACGCTGCTACGCTACGAACCCGGCGACCCGGGTTCGATTCCCGCTCACGGCCAACACCCAGTGACGATTATCTGAACCGGTCCTGGGCCTCCCCTAGGTCGACTCAGCCTTAAATGAGTACTTGGTGTGGTGCGTAAACATCGCCACTGGGGAGACGAAGGCGGTCGGGCGTGGTGCTGGCCACCCACCCCCTCGTGTACCATTCCGGCCTTCATAGGTGCTCGCTAACAGCACTTGCCCCGACAGTCTGTGAAGGCTACATGGGGGATCTTTGCCTTTGTTCTCACGTCAGGCACGATGGGTGGGGGCCCGTAGGCTGACGTGACACCGCCTCCGATTCTTGTCGCCCCACCCCTCCCCCAGTGCACACACACGCAAACGTTGTACGTGCATCCCGTGCTGTGTCTACTATGTCGACACGAGTGATCGCGATGGCAGGCTGCAGGCCGCCACAACAAAGCCTCTCTGTCTCTCGTTTCTCCCTCTCTTCATCTCTCCCCCTCTGCGTCCGCCCCTCTCTCCCCGTGCACACACACACACGCTAGTGCGTGCGTGTGCCGTACCGTATCCACGCGGGCGAGTACAATGCGCCCAGCCTGTAGGCCCGACACAACAAAGTCTCTGTCTCTTCTCTGTCTCTCGTTTTTCTCTCCCTTTATCTCTCCCTCTGCGTCCCTCTCTCTCCGCGTGCACACGCACACGCACACGCTAGCGTGCGTGTCCGTGTGCGTATCCCGTACCGTGTCATTGCGGGCAGGAACGATGCGCAGGCTGTAGGCCGACACAACTAAAGCCTCTACGCGTCTCGTTTCTCCCTCTCCTCGCCTCTCCCTCTGCGCCCCTCTCTCTCCGCGTGCACGCACACACGCGTGTGCGCTAGCGCGCGTGCGTGTACCGTACCGTGTCCACGCGGGCCAGGATGACGGGCAGGCTGTAGGCCGACACCACGATGCCCGTGGTGAAGAACAGCGCCAGCTCGCGGCACGCGCTGCTCGTGGCGTCGCCGCCGCCCTCGTCGCCGAGGCGGCGCGCCACGCACTGCGGCACCGGCACGAGCGCGTAGAAGATGAGCACGAACAGCGGCCAGTAGACGCTGGGACGCCGCACGGGGGACAACGCAAGGGAGGGGACAACCGCACGGGGACACGTTAAGACACGAAGAGCACGGCGGGTACACGCCGAGACGCACGGGGGACACGCGGAGATGCGTTATACAGATGCACGGGAACGCCACATGCGGAGACACGTGACACACGAAGAGCGGATAGTACACGCCGAGACCCCCGGGGACAACGAGGCTGCAATTGTGCGACGGGCCGCGTGACCATGTGACCGAGCGAGTGAGCGCATGACCATGTGACTGAGCGAGTGAGCGTGTGACCGAGCGAGTGAGCGTGTGACCGAGCGAGTGAGCGCGTGACCATGTGACTGAGCACGTGACCATGTGACCGAGCGAGTGAGCGCATGAGCGTGTGACCGAGCGAGTGAGCGCATGCCCATGTGACTGAGCGAGTGAGCGTGTGACCGAGCGAGTGAGCGCGTGACCATGTGACTGAGCGCGTGACCATGTGACCGAGCGAGTGAGCGCATGAGCGTGTGACCGAGCGAGTGAGCGCATGCCCATGTGACTGAGCGAGTGAGCGTGTGACCGAGCGAGTGAGCGCATGCCCATGTGACTGAGCGAGTGAGCATGTGACTGAGCGAGTGAGCGCATGACCATGTGACTGAGCGAGTGAGCATGTGACTGAGCGAGTGAGCGCATGACCATGTGACTGAGCGAGTGAGCGTGTGACTGAGCGAGTGAGCGTGTGCCCATGTGACTGAGCGAGTGAGCATGTGACTGAGCGAGTGAGCGCATGACCATGTGACTGAGCGAGTGAGCGTGTGACTGAGCGAGTGAGCGTGTGACTGAGCGAGTGAGCGCATGCCCATGTGACTGAGCGAGTGAGCATGTGACTGAGCGAGTGAGCGCATGACCATGTGACTGAGCGAGTGAGCGTGTGACTGAGCGAGTGAGCGTGTGACTGAGCGAGTGAGCATGTGACTGAGCGAGTGAGCGCATGCCCATGTGACTGAGCGAGTGAGCGTGTGACTGAGCGAGTGAGCGCATGCCCATGTGACTGAGCGAGTGAGCGTGTGACTGAGCGAGTGAGCATGTGACTGAGCGAGTGAGCGCATGCCCATGTGACTGAGCGAGTGAGCATGTGACTGAGCGCGTGAGCGCGTGACTGCGTGCGTCTGCTTGTCGCGCGACAGAGCGGGTGTCTCACTGGTATTCCGGAAGAGCGCAGGCCAACATCAGGAACATGAGCCCCACCGCTCCGCCAAACGACAACCCCACCAGCGCTGCAACACACGCAGAAATACGCAGACACAACAAGTACACGCGCGCGCTCATCAGCCTGCACTCACCAAAAGCCAACGGACAACTTTGACAAACAGCTTAGAGCGCGGACTTACATTCGATTAAATATTAAGAGGCCATTAGACAAATGAAGAGACCTATACACGGTGAACATGTGAACCCGTCGTGCTGACGAACATTTGAACCTGTCCTGGGCCTCCCCTAGGCCATGGTTTTTACCCTTTCAACTGGTACAAAAACTGACACCTTTATACAAGGCATCATGTTTGCAATAACCACAACACAAGCAGTCAAAATGCAAACAAAAAGAAACAACTCTGCTAATGATAATGATATGCACTGTCCTTGAAGTTGATTGGTCCACACCCGAGACAGCTTTTCTTCGAGCCTAGTCTCCATTGGTGTTGGACCAGATGACGCCAAAAGGCGCACAACTCAAAAACAGCGCACTATCAGAGTATTGAGAGCTCGGGGTAAGCATTTACACTATGAGACCTCCTTTACCAGTGGCAAAATATAGTAATAGGTTTTTACCCTTTCAACTGGTCCAACACCAATGGAGACTAGGCTCTAAGAAAAGCTGTCTCGGGTGTGGACCAATCAACTTCAAGGACAGTGCATATCATTATCATCATCAGAGTTGTTTCTTTTTGTTTGCATTTTGACTGCTTGTGTTGTGGTTATTGCAAACATGATGCCTTGTATAAAGGTGTCAGTTTTTGTACCAGTTGAAAGGGTAAAAACCTATTACTATATTTTGCCACTGGTAAAGGAGATGACTCATAGTGTAAATACCTTGCCTAGTATGCAGAAAGTCATCACAATGAACGCCTGCTCTATATATTTGGAGTTTCAGTCTCTCTCTCGACCCTCTCTCCCCATGGTGGCGTGCATTTTTCTCCGAGTCCTCCCGTTTTTTCCCTACACTTTTAGAATCAACACGCGTTTCAAGAGTAGTTGGCTGCTATAAAGTTCCACGGGATGATGATAAGTCACTTCGGTGAGTTATCATTAGTGGCCAGGTCGCTTCTCAAAAAGAGCTCTACATACCTTAGTGGTTTAATAAAAGTTAGTTTTGTTAAGTCTTAAGGTCGAATGGGTATTGAATGACTACCTCGTGCGGGGCGTGTAGTAAAACATTTCCACTAGCTTAACTGGCCTTCGTAAATTATTATGGAACGTGTGGCATGCAGCAAAGCACCTAAATGACATAGGTTAAGTTAAACTATTTTAATAATTTGTATTTTACCAGATAAGGCCCCACTGATCTCTTTATCAGAAGAGACCCCACTACCACAACTGACAGTCCAACGCTTGTCATCATCACGTGGAAATTTATAGCAGCAGCAAAACACGCTAAACGCGTGACGTTTATTCTAAATGTGGTAGGGGAAAAAAACGGAGGATCCAAGATAAATATCCATGCGACCACAGGGAGAGAGACGCCGCAAACTCCAAATATACATCAGCAGCAACAGGCATTGTCAGGGTCGAAATTGAACCCATGACCTCCTTGTTTACCAGGCGAGGTGGTTAACATCTCTTAGCTACTGCTGGGTGTGTCGTTGACATCGTCGCATGATTCGTGGGAGGCTTCAGCTTTGCGGGGCGGGGGGCCTTCATCCAGCAGTGGATAGAGCAGCACGACCTCGTGATGTTGATGGTGGTGGAGAGAGGGATGTGGCCTCGGATGTAAGCTCGGAATTACACAAAAAGATTGTTGTTTTAAAGAGGAAGACGAGGTTATTACGCAAGCTCAGGACATCATCTTCATTCAGCAGTGGATAGAGCAACACGGCCGAGAGAGACGCACGCTTGGAATGACAGCGAGCGCAGAAGTTAGGGGGACGCAGCGATCATGGATGTTCATCAAACAGTGCATGGATCCTGATGATGATAATGATAGGAGAGGCGTACGCTGGGAATGAAATTGAAAGAACACATGGGTAAGAAAACATTCGTAGGTTACTGATACTGGTAGGAACCTCCTGGTTACACCAGCCCGTGTCCGTTCGTCATGCAGGGAGGGGCTGGGTGGGGAGGGGCTGGGTGGGGCTGGGTGGGGGGTGGGAGGGGTGGGGCCAGGTGGGGAGGGGCTGGGTGGGGAGGGGCTGGGTGGGGAGTGGCTGGGTGGGGCTGGGTGGGGGGTGGGAGGGGTGGGGCTGGGTGGGGATGGGCTGGTCACCCCGTGGTGCCCTTATAAAACTCAACGTTTAACCTACTCACGCCGGCTTGTGCCCGCCCTCACAGTCGGGCATATTTGCGGAATACACCACGCCGCCGTTGACCCTGGCCATTGACCGAGCAACCCAACGTTCCTACCAGCTCCCTCCGCAGGAATGTGTTCATTAGGGCACCACGGTGGCTAGGAGATGTTAACTATCTTGCCTGGTATACAGGAGGTCGTGGGTTCGATTCCAACCATGACGATGCCTGCTGTATATATGGAGTTTGCATGTCTCTCTCTCTCTCATCATCATCACGGTGGCTAAGGATTTCCCCCCCCCCTCCACATTTAGAATCAACATCACCACGCGTTTAAGAGTCATTCGGCTTCTTCTATACATGTCAACTCCCTTATCAGTGCCTAACTTATTACGGACCAATTCAGACCTTATTGGTATAAACATAGATTTGATGAAGCTTTAGTGAGGGACTTTACCTGGTATAAACATAGATTTGATGTAGCTTTAGTAAGGGACTCTACCTGGTATAAACATAGATTTGATGTAGCTTTAGTGAGGGACTTTACCTGGTATAAACATAGATTTGATGTAGCTTTAGTGAGGGACTTTACCTGGTATAAACATAGATTTGATGTAGCTTTAGTGAGGGTCTTTACCTGGTATAAACATAGATTTGATGTAGCTTTAGTAAGGGACTTTACCTGGTATAAACATAGATTTGATTAAGCTTTAGTGAGGGTCTTTACCTGGTATAAACATAGATTTGATTAAGCTTTAGTGAGGGACTTTACCTGGTATAAACATAGATTTGATGTAGCTTTAGTGAGGGACTTTACCTGGTATAAACATAGATTTGATTAAGCTTTAGTGAGGGTCTTTACCTGGTATAAACATAGATTTGATGCAGCTTTAGTGAGGGACTTTACCTGGTATAAACATAGATTTGATGCAGCTTTAGTGAGGGACTTTACCTGGTATAAACATAGATTTGATTAAGCTTTAGTGAGGGTCTTTACCTGGTATAAACATAGATTTGATGCAGCTTTAGTGAGGGACTTTACCTGGTATAAACATAGATTTGATTAAGCTTTAGTGAGGGACTTTACCTGGTATAAACATAGATTTGATGCAGCTTTAGTGAGGGACTTTACCTGGTATAAACATAGATTTGATTAAGCTTTAGTGAGGGACTTTACCTGGTATAAACATAGATTTGATGCAGCTTTAGTGAGGGACTTTACCTGGTATAAACATAGATTTGATGCAGCTTTAGTGAGGGACTTTACCTGGTATAAACATAGATTTGATGTAGCTTTAGTGAGGGACTTTACCTGGTATAAACATAGATTTGATTAAGCTTTAGTGAGGGTCTTTACCTGGTATAAACATAGATTTGATGCAGCTTTAGTGAGGGACTTTACCTGGTATAAACATAGATTTGATGCAGCTTTAGTGAGGGACTTTACCTGGTATAAACATAGATTTGATGTAGCTTTAGTGAGGGACTTTACCTGGTATAAACATAGATTTGATGTAGCTTTAGTGAGGGACTTTACCTGGTATAAACATAGATTTGATGCAGCTTTAGTGAGGGACTTTACCTGGTATAAACATAGATTTGATGTAGCTTTAGTGAGGGACTTTACCTGGTATAAACATAGATTTGATGCAGCTTTAGTGAGGGACTTTACCTGGTATAAACATAGATTTGATATAGCTTTAGTGAGGGTCTTTACCTGGTATAATCATAGATTTGATGCAGCTTTAGTGAGGGACTTTACCTGGTATAAACATAGATTTGGTGTAGCTTTAGTGAGGGACTTTACCTGGTATAAACATAGATTTGATGTAGCTTTAGTGAGGGACTTTACCTGGTATAAACATAGATTTGATACAGCTTTAGTGAGGGACTTTACCTGGTATAAACATAGATTTGATGTAGCTTTAGTGAGGGACTTTACCTGGTATAAACATAGATTTGATACAGCTTTAGTGAGGGACTTTACCTGGTATAAACATAGATTTGATGTAGCTTTAGTGAGGGACTTTACCTGGTATAAACATAGATTTGATGCAGCTTTAGTGAGGGACTTTACCTGGTATAAACATAGATTTGATGCAGCTTTAGTGAGGGACTTTACCTGGTATAAACATAGATTTGATGTAGCTTTAGTGAGGGTCTTTACCTGGTATAAAATATATTTGATTAAGCTTTAGTAAGGGACTTTATCTGGTATAAAAACATAGATTTCACGTAGCTTTAGTGAGGGCCTATCCCTGTATTAAAAAAATCAACACAGTTTTGTTTTAAAAAAAATCACAACCCAGCACGCGATACGCCTCATGACACAGCAATACGACGAGTAAATAACAAGGTGCACTTAAGAGCCCGCAACCATCGCCAATCTTGTTACAAAACCAGCGGAGGACGAACATCTCCGCTCCCTCACCTCTGATGCCCGCCATTGTCCGTCCAGGGCCACCCTCGAGATTTCCCAGTGCAGATGCGCATCGTCCCCGCCCCGTCACCGCCGTTCATTGGTCGCACCAACGGACACGTCTTGCAAGCCTCAGCCAATGAGGGGACAGCGCAGGGCTTGTGCGCGTTACGAATTGTAATGAGGGGGCGTGTACGGTGAAACTTCCCGCCCTTTCCCTCCCCACCGTCACCGCCGCTCATTGGTCGAGCCGAGGTGACACGTGACGCAAGCCTCGACCAATGAGGGGGCAGCGTGCGGGCTGGTGCGCGCTGTGAATTATAATGAACGGCGACCCTCTCGATTTCCCAGTGCAGATGCGCATCGCCACCCGCCCGTCACCGCCGCTCATTGGTCGCGCCAACGTCGCGCGTCACGCAAGCGTTGGCCAATCAGAGGACAGCGGCGGACTTGTGCGCGCTACGAATTGTAATGAGGGGGCGCGGTTAGGAAAGCTGGCCACGTGACTTTTCTCGATGAATCCTCGCGCATAATTTAGCATAAATTAGCATAAATTACATTCCGTGCATAAAATTTGCATAAATTAGACATCGATGTTACTATCGATCAGGGGTTCTCCTAACCTTGACTGTAGCCTTGCACCATTTTGCTTTAACGATCGTTAAATAACTGCAACAATGTCAATGAATGCATTGGGAGGTCCGTGGCATAATTACGTAGGGGTTTAATGAAAACTTACGTTATCCAAGTTCAAGTTAATTGATTAGGTATAGCCCTGTGAGCCATTCGGCTCTTGAATCGGGTGCAACCGCAACAAACATGAACAAGAACACATCTTATAGTGAATATGATGCAGCAAATCTGGCTGTGACGGTCCCACCTGATGACGGAGACTTGTTTTGCCTCCGAAACGTCGTGATTTTTATTTTTTATTTATTTTGATGTTTTACCTACGTGACTTTACCGAAAAAACTTAAGAATATGTAACCGAGTGTAAACAGAAAATCCAAAAAAAGACAGCAAAATATTGAAGAAAAAGCACCGTACACCAACGCTGTGTGCAAACATCCCAGTGGGATGCAAGTCAAACAACAACAACAACCACAAGACAACTTAGATTAAGGCCATCGGTCTAACTCTGTACCACAACAAACAACAACAACAACCACAAGACAACTCAGATTAAGGCCATCAGTCTAACTCTGTACTACAACAAACAACAACCACAAGACAACTTAGATTAAGGCCATCAGTCTAACTCTGTACTACAACAAACAACAACCACAAGACAACTTAGATTAAGGCCATCAGTCTAACTCTGTACTACAACAAACAACAACAACCACAAGACAACTTAGATTAAGGCCATCGGTCTAACTCTGTACTCCAACAAACAACAACAACAACCACAAGACAACTTAGATTAAAGCCATCGGTCTAACTCCGTGGCTTAATTTGCGATTTCGATTTTTTTTTTGTCCACAAAAAAATCTGCCCATGACTCGCTACCCCACACACACACAGAAAGGGCATCTCCCAGGTTAAGAATATGAACTGCTCTAAATCATCATATTCACAATGTCATTTACACGAAGATTTGGTTACACAATTAATTGCGAGCGAGTTGGGTTTAATTAAGTAGAACGTGTTGTCTATATTTATTTAAAGTTGCACATTTTGATGTGACGTCACATTTCTCAAACTCCCCTACCCCCCCTCTGGATTTAAAGCTTTCGTGACTGCAGGAATTCATCTTCTTGGTTCTTTCGGTAAAGTCATCACGTAGAAGGGAAGTAATAAAATATTAAAAATAAAACATAATAAAATAATTCTCACGACGTTTCAGCCACAACGCAAGCAGCCGTCCTCAGGTGAAAAATGAATTCATTCTTCCTCAGGTGAAAAATGAGGACGGCTGCTTGCGTTGTGGCCGAAACGTCGTGAGAATTATTTTATTATGTTTTATTTTTACTATTTTATTACTTCCCTTCTACGTGATGACTTTACCGAAAGAACCAAGAAGGTGAACTTCTTCCGAACCGTACAAGAGCCAACCGTGCCAATCTGCGGTGCGGGGGAAGGCCAGATGATTTCACATCGGAAGAGCGTTCCAGACGGCCGCAGAGGCGCACGTGAAAGCGCCGCGCGCGATGATGCGGTGGCCACCGTCTTTGTTCGACGGCCAAGCAAAAGCCGCCGCCGCTGCCGCTGCGGGGATGACCACCGGAGTTCGCGCGACGATGGCTTCGGCTCCTCAGCGAGGCGTCTCGGTTCATTTTCGGCGCGCACCTCGAACCGCGTGCGACGAGCGTGACCCCGTGACCCCGTGACGAGTTCGTCCGGCGACTGGGAGCCAACGCAGCTTGGCGAGCACCGCACGGGCACGGTGTGGGACCTTGCGCACACAGACGTGTCTGTGTCTTTGTCTACGTGTGTGTCTACGTGTGTGTCTACGTGTGTGTCTACGTGTGTGTCTACGTGTGTGCGTGCGAGGAGCGGTGGTGTAGCGGTTAGCGCAACGCCGCGCTAAGAACCCGGCGACCCCGGGTTCGATTCTCGCTCGCGGCCAACACCACCGGTGACGAGCATCTGAGCCGGTCCTGGGCCTCCACTAGGCCGACTCGGCCGCAAATGAGTACCTGGTGCGGTGTGTGGTAAACATCGCCACTGGGGAGATGTTGCTATGCCACGGTAGGCAGTATACAGATAATTATAGCCGACGGACGTTTTTAAATCCTTTATATTAAGTTCGCTTGCTTGCTTGCGTGCTTGCTTGCTTGCTTACGACCGTGTAAATCTTTCGGTCGTTTTTTAACCCACTTCCCGTGATCCAATCGAGTTGACATTTTCCACACAGACTCGTTGTGCGTGACAATTAATGTTCGTGAAAACATTTTTCCAAAATTTTCCACTTTTTAGGAAAATATTTTTTTCATATTTAATTTAAAATACCAATGTGATAAAAATGAAACTCTTACTCAAGAAAAACAGAAATGAATAATAAAATAAAACCGATGCCACGCATATAAAGGATTTATAGTGAAAAACTTTGTTTTTACGGGTTAATTTTTTAATGACTTGGTACGAAATCTCCTCCTGCCCCCCCCACCACCACCACCCCTACCCATCGGTAGAGGAGACCCCGTGGGGTTTAAAACCCAGCATGGCATCGAGACGTCGCCACGCTCTGCTCCTGACCATTAACATCACAGCCAGAAAAGATGATTACATTTTGGTTAATTGGATGAATCGTGAGGCCCCCCCCCTCACACCCACACACCAGTAGGATACAGCGGTATAGGACACTCCGCCCGAGTCGTAAGCCAACCGCCAAACCACTAAACCGCCCTACAACCGCCAAAACGCCAACAACTGCCAAACCGCCAAACCGTCAACCACTAAATGGCCAAACCACCCAACCACCAATCCGCCAAACTACTCAACCACCAAACCGCCAAACTACCCAACCATTAAACTACCAAACCGCCCAACCACCCAACCACCCAACCACTCAACCACCAAACCGCCAAACTACCCAACCATTAAACTACTAAACTACCAAACCGCCCAACTGCCAAACCGCCCAACCACCCAACCACTAAACTACAAAACCACTCAACCACCAAAAACACCAAAACCACAAAATACACCAAAAACACCAAAACCACCCAACCACCCAACCACCAAATCACCCAACCACCAAATCACCCAACCGCCAAACCACCCAACCACCATATCACCAAACCACAAAATCCACCAAACCACCCAACCGCCAAAAGCTGCCAGCAACCGCCAAACCGCTACCAACCCGCGCCCATCACAGGAAGGCCAGCAGCGAGCGCGCGCACTCGGTGAGCTTTGCCGGCGCCCCCGGCAGGCCGGCGCACCGCTCGGCGTGGGCCCTCACCCCCAGCGCGTCGCTCAGCCTGCGGGCGGCGTCGCCGTCGCCGCCGCGGCCGCGGCGTAGCACCAGCGTGGCGACGCACACGAGCAGCCGGAACGACGCCTCGGGGTCCGGCCGCCGCTCCAGCAGCGCCACGGCCGCCGACAGCAGCTGGGTCATGGCCTCGTCGTCGTCGCCGCCGGCGTTCCTCCTGGACGCGAAGATGGCGGAGAAGGAGGAGGAGGAGGAGGGCTCGCTGTGCAGGACGGCGTAGTTGAGCAGCAGCGTGGCCAGCGCGACCTGGAGAGGCGCGGAGTGGGGTGGTGACACGGGGAGAGATGAAGGGAGGACACGTGGGGGTGTGGGTTGGGGACACGCAGGGAGACGCGGGGGGGGGGGCATGCAGGGGAGATGCGGCGGGAGACACGGGGGGGGGGGGGACGCGGAGAGAGACGCGGGGAGAGACGCGGGGGGAGACACGGAGATAGCAGGAAAGTGTAAATGATAGGAGATGGTCACATAGGGAAGTGGGGACATGGGGGCACCTCGTGAAGGCACCTTCAAGTTACAGCTCGGGTCAGAATCATTTGCTTTAGAGTCATTGTACCATCGTCTCAGTGCCAGAGCCATAATCCCTGTGCCAGTCTCTGTGCCACAGTCTCGGTGTCACAGTCTCTGTGCCATAATCCCTGTGCCACAGTCTCTGTGCCACAGTCTCTGTGTCACAGTCTCTGTGCCACAGTCTCTGTGCCACAGTCTCTGTGCCACAGTCTCTGTGTCACAGTCTCGGTGCCACAGTCTCGGTGCCACAGTCTCGGTGCCATAATCCCTGTGCCACAGTCTCTGTGCCACAGTCTCTGTGTCACAGTCTCTGTGCCACAGTCTCTGTGCCACAGTCTCTGTGCCACAGTCTCTGTGTCACAGTCTCGGTGCCACAGTCTCGGTGCCACAGTCTCGGTGCCATAGTGCTAAAGTCTCGGTGCCAGCGCTGTCGGGACCGGGCACCTGCACGTTGCGGTTGTCGGAGCCGACGAGCTCCAGCGCCCCCTCCACCACCAGCGAGCGCCGCTCC